CAGAAGAGATGCTTTCTAACTTGGCATCTCCTGCGTGCCAGTGCCCGTGGCACAGCTAGCCTGTACAGATTTCCTTCCTCCCTAGAGGCTGTCTTAACATTCTTGGTGACGTGGAATACAAACTCTCGAAACTGCCACGAAGCTCAAGTTGTCATTGAAACCCTCCTGAAGCACGAAGCACCAGACAGCCTCCTGCAGTACTCGGGCATTAAATCAGCTGTGGAGTCCCTGCTGCCTTACACCGGTGAGTCACGCCGCAGGGCTGGGCTGTGAGCCCACGGTCTTTGTGTTAGGAATATTCCCCGTTTGCCATGGTCTAAAGAGAAGAGAGGTTTTTGCACCCCGTTCTGGCGAGCTTTCTCTCCTGTGATGCTACCCACGGATTTCTCTCTTTGCAGAGCGCCATTTTCAGAGACTGAGCCGATTGCTACAGGCCTCCATGTTCATTGATTTCATGTGGCAAAACATGCGGCTGGCTGATGCGCCCCAGCAGGAAGACATGACTTTGTGACCCTCCTCCCACCAGTTGCTCTTTCCAGAGGGGAGAGTCTGAACTGCTTTCCCACAAGGTATGGCAACTGGACTATTCCTGTATTTTATAATAAATTTTTAAAGTTTGAATTTCTAAAACAAGTGCAGCATTCGGTCTCCTTGGGGCTTAGTGAGAGGAAGGGGCCATTCCTTTGGCCAAGCTATGCTTTCCTTTTGTATTTTCACACCCTGAATTTTCAGGCCCAGACACTTAAACAGCACTTAGTTTGGAGAAAAGTCAGAACCTGGCTCCGAGCAAGCAGTTCGTCTTTCCGGGGGATTTAAAGACTTTACTGAGTTGGGAGCAACTACTGGCAATGTATCATATCCCAAAGCCCAGCTAGGCAGTGTGTATTGATCCGTGGTGGTGTGTCATTGAACATTTTCTTTGCTGTGCCTGCCCTGAATGTTAGTGCCAGTGCCTGGGAAGGAGAGAAGTGCCATTTTAATTCCCCAGCTAGCAAAATTTTTGAAGTATAAAAAACAAACAGTCTTCGTAGATATTTACATGTATTTTATTTTAGAGACAAAAATGTATAAAATTTAGAACAACATAAATACCTCACAAGTTAGTTAAATTGCTTGTTTCAAAAAAAAAAAAAATTAACAGATACCTGGGAAAATAACTAAAGGTAATAATCTATATAAAAATCTTAATGTTTCCTGTAACTATTTTTCTAACTCAATTCTAGCGAATGAGTTTAGGATGAGAGCTACTGAAACTCACAGCAATTATCAGACCCCCTTGAAAGGGGAATGTTTTGTTCATAAAAATGAGCTCTGTTCCCCTCAGCCAGTTGGGAAACAAGCTGTACTACAACCATTTTTGTTTCTGTGCCTGCACAGACGTCGCTGTAGGGAACGGTCAGAGATGAGGTTCCTAGCCAACAGGTTTTTTTGTTCTCACAGCCATTCAGCAGATCCAGCCAATTCATGTATTTGATGGCCAGTTCTCCACTACCCAAGCTGATCTAACCTTTAAAAAAACCAAAAACAACCAAAAACCCCAAACAAACACCAAAAACCAAAGCATTTAAAAAAAAAAAAAAAGAAATAAGGGCTTCAGGTAAATGATGTTCACACAGCTGCATCATCCCATCCCTGTCCCATACCAGTAACTGTAGCTCTGGATTTCCTGGGTGACTCTGTCACTTACTCTGTCTGAGTGTCACTCTGCTGTTCTTGTGAAATTTTCACATACTACACTGCAGGATAAATACCTGCCTGAGGGAGAATTAACTGAATCTGAAGCGACCTCTAACTGACACAGGAGCTGCCAGATCCGCAGCTGCCATGACTCCCCTGATAAGTTAAACCACTAAATCCTTTCCCACTAACTCCAGTAAAGCCCCCTTGGCTCCCCAGCCTCCCTGTGCAAGCTGCAGCACGAGTCGGTGTTACCCAGGGAGGCAATGTTTGCGTGCATGTTCCGTCGGGATCTAACTGTGTCCTTGGAAAGTGACAAGTCCCAAGCCCTGATGCTCCCCGTGCTGCTGCCCACGGTTCCTGCAGGGCTTTGGCGAGGAGGGTGCCTGGCTCCTGGTTGTGGTGCTGGCTCAGGGCTGGGTCTGTGCCTGTCCCAGGGGCACTAGTGCACGCTTGGGAGAGGGAGCAGACCCTGGAGTGCCGGCCGGGAGGAAGACTGCTGCACGGCTCGCTTCGTGATGGTGCTGCACTTCTGGAGGATCTCATGGGCTGAGGGACGCACAGGCACCTTGGGGACACGAGCGGCCAAGTCAGGGTCAGTGAGGGGGTAACTTAGATCAGCTGCAGATGACTCCACAAAGCCAGAATCGTTCCTGTCCTTGTGGGTGAGGCGTGGAGACTTGCTGCTGTGCATGGCCAAGGCATGCCCCAGGGGGGAGCTGGCCTGCTCGACTTCGGGCAGAGACCTTGACAAGTCAGGCTTCCAGCTCAGCCGGCCATCTCGCTCACTGCTGCTCCCTGAGCTGAGGGACAAGCTGTCTGACTCCAGGTCCGGGGTGGAGCTGGCCCTGGGCAGAGACCTTGATCTGCTTCTCAGAGAGCTCACGTCCTCTTCACTCCGGTCAAAGGAAGAGCAAGCCTGCAACCCCTGCTGCCCCAGGGCCTCACCCCGGGGCTGAGGAGCCATCAGAGTGGAGCAGAGGTTCGGGGTGGAGACGTTGAGCCCACAGCTTATGATGGTCTGGAGCTTGTGGTGAGGATTCTTGTAGGGCTGGAGGCACATGGAGGGCATGTAGCCAGTACGGCCGTTGTATCTGAGGGGGAAGGATGAAAAGCAACACTGAAAAGGGCCCTTCTCGCAGCTCAGACCAAGGGGAGGGAGCAGAGCACCCGGGGGAAGCAGGGGAGGACTCAGCCCAGTGCTGTATGTGGGGCATGAGGAAGGGGAAAACCATCCCTAGCCAAGGGCAGTCAACTTGGGGGGTTCCTCTGCACCCAACTTGGGGAGGAGCAGACAAGAAGCACCCACAGCAGGTAACTGGCTCCCTTGAGGAATGAGAGCTTCAGAAAAGCCTCCTTACCGGATCAGCCACCAGCCATCGTCAGATTTCCTCATCACCTCCACGACGACACCGTGGTTCAGTGAGAGCTCATCTGCCTTCTGAGACTCGTAGGCCCGCATGACAAAGTGCAGGCTGCCTGCAGAGAGAAGGGGGAGGTTTTGCCTTGCAGAGAAAATGACTCCATCCCTGTGACTGATCAGCTCGGCAGTGCTGGGGAGCAAGCGAGAGCTGTAGGGCCAGTGTCCCTGAAAAAGACTGATTTGCTCTGAGACCCACAGCTGGTGGCAGAGCTGATCAGAAGAGTCAGAGCTCCGAAGATGAAGGCAGGGACCCTGAGCAATGGTTAAAGCAGTGGGGTTTTTGCAGAACTCGTTTTCTGAATGAAGAACATGGTGTCCCAGGGAGCCAGAAGCAGACTTACCCTCCTCATTTGAACTCAAGGCATTCTGGATGTCTTTGTGGACATCAATCTTTTCCAGGTATGAGGCAGGGAACCAGGCTATCTGCTTGTCTGCGTTTTCCACTAGCCACCATCCTGCAGCAAACCGGAAAAAAAAAAAAAAAAAAAATGGTTTCAACAGCCTGCAAGTAGACAAATGATCATAATCCCTGGGCAGGGGCTGCTCTGCCACAAGAGACAGGAGGGACGTCCTGCAGAGCGGGTTGGTGCCTGGCCGATGCCGTGCTGACACCTTCCGTGTAAATTTGGGTAAGTATGCCACACGTACAAATACCTGCCCCCACGCGGGATGCTACCGACTCGGCATTTGCCAAGCTGCGACTCAATCTACACCATCCATCCCCGAGACGGAAGAATCCCTATCACACATACCAGTCATGTCCTTGATTAAGACTTCAACAATTTCCTTCTTGGTGACTTTGAAAGTCTTGTTCTTTGTGTCTTTGGTTTCAAAGGTTTCAATGCATCTGTAGCTCTGGGATGCCTGGGGGAGTGTAATGGAGGAGAGCTGCTGCTGCGGCTGGTTTTTCTTTTCCCCTCCAATTTCTGATGGCATGATCACAACACTGAAGAGTAAAGTTTAATATCAGTTTACTGAAAACTTACATGGAAGGTTGAGTTTAGTATTAATTTTGGTAAAATCGTGTATGCGGTAGGCTAAGAAAAGCTTAGGCATCAGAAACAACATAAATATGCATTAAAGCCTTCATCAGAACTTCCCTGCTCTGCTGTCCTGGTATGAAACTGTTGTTTCTCTTCTATAGATGTCTATATAGCTATAACATTTCTGTTTCATGAAGATACAGACAAACAAAAAACACAAATATGATTTCATACCTGTTTTCAGGAAAGGAGGGATCTAGGTCTTGGGTCTGTGCCTTGAAAAACTGAATCACATCTTCACCCTCGGAGATTTTAGCATCTGTTTTCAGCAGCTGCTGGGAGTAAGTTTCCAGCAGTTTCAGTATCTCCAGGCACCTGTTCAGCTTCCCACTCTTCCTCTGCTTCACGTTTGCATCTTTAAAATAACAAGAGCAAAGCTGGTGTAAGACAAAAACAGATGTGGGTGCCTTGAGAGCAGCATCTTTTGCCTGAACACGGGGGTGCCCTCACCTTCCCCGCACAAGCCCAAACTGTAAGAAGCCGAGGCAGAAGCTGCCTGTGCCTCCCTGTCATTTTTAATAGTGCCTGATACAATTTTTGAATATCTGAAATTTATCTTTGTTCACACATAAATGTGGCAAAGAATTCTGCGTCAATATTTGAAGGGTAACAATTTACCAAGTGCAATTGTCTATTAAAAAAAAAAATCTTTCTGGGTTATTTTAAGTCAGTAACAGACCCAAGCGTGTTGATGTAACCCAGCAGTACCATGCCACGAGCAGATGTGAGCTGTTAATCTGTTCCAGAGGAAGGTCAGACCCAGAACCTGAAGTCTCTGTCATCAGTTACGACTGTCCTCAACAGCTCTGTCGTGTTTGGTCCATCAGAGATTTGTTCTCCTTACCTTTAAGCCTGGGTATTGTCCGGTCAGATCTCCTGAGTGAGCCGCTCTCAATGGGGAATTTTCTCTTCAGCTCTTTCTAAAAATGAGGAGGAGGAGAGAACAGTGATTCTTCGCAGCCCTGATATGCAGTTGGGCTCCTTTGCCCCTCCCCAGGACGGGGATCCTGTTTTCAGGGAAATATTAACTTACATGGAATCTCTTAAAGTCTTCAAATGTCCGGTAGATGAGAATGTTGTTCTGATCTGACCAAGACACAAACATCATGTAGTTCTGGAAAAATAAAAGGGAAAAGGAGTGCATTTTTTTTAATTACAGTGTTCAATATTGGATGCTTTCAAGCAATGAACATTTGCCAGGACCTGTGGTTTAGTTCTGGCTTTGGACTGCAAGACTGTCACATTAAAAAAATTAAATATTAGACCTATGAACCTATTTCCTTGATTTAGGGCCCCAAATGGGTAATAATTGTTAAAACCAGAATAATTTTATGACACTGTGAACAGAAAGACAGCAGAATCCAAGATAACCGTTTTCTTATGATATTAAGACCATTTAAAAATGAGTCCAAGACCTCTGACCTAGACCTCTAATCCTGACACAGCGGGGAAATGAGCAAGTATACCCCTGTAAGAGTAACTGCAAAAGCCCTCTACTTTCCTGATTTGTAAATATTTAAGAATAAATAAATAAATAAAAAAAATCAAAGTACCTTCTGCTTTCTGCATTGCATCAAGCCTACAGCCTTCACATCCACTGGGTACCTGCCGCAGCTCATCTTCCCCAAGCCTCTCCTCCCTCCCCAGGGCAGCTGAGCAGAGATGCGGCTCCGGGCACGACTCCCGCGGTTAAATATGCTGGAGCGGGAGGCAGGGCGCAGGCGTTCCCGCGCTTCCTCCTCCACCCAGTACCGTTCGCAGAAATTCCGTAATTTGGCAAACTACCGCGTGCCTTTTACCTGCCCCCTTGCTTTTAGCATGCAAATATCCCAGGTGCAGATGGCGGGGGCATAGTTCAGCGAGCTGGGGAAGACAGCTTATCTTATCACATCACATCCTCACTAGAATAATGCCGGTAAGCGAGCCGGACCCTGCGGCTGGGTCGGTTTATCATCCCGGGCTGTCCAGGAGGTCAGTGGGGCAGCAACACCTGCTGTGAACTGCAGTGTATTTCCAGGGCCGGAGGTGTTGTGGTTACGGCTATATTGCATGGACATGCCTGTCGGAGTTGCCTGCGGCTTGGGCCACGCTCTCAACCGGTCCCAAAGGCTGATTAAGAACATGGCTTGTTGTAAAGCACAAGTCAGGCACAACTTGACGTGTGTGTTAACTGTTACAAATCTCTTCTCTTTGCTGCTTTGTTCTGTCTGCTAAGACACATCACTTCAGAGGGATTTCTGGTAGCTATATCGGCGTTTGCACGCTCTCAGAAACTAACGGGAGATGCCAGTGCCAACATTGCCAGATCAAAGGATGAACACAACCCCAGGGTGTAACTGAAAAAGTCCCAAAGTTTTTCAGATGTAAATACGCAATGGAGACAGCTCCAAGAGCCCTGTGCTCTGTCCCACATCAAGCCAGGTGCCCATACCCACCCAGGGTGACCAGCAGCTCTTCCCATGGACCAGCTCCTTCTGCCCGGAGGCACTGCAGGACCGGTAACTGCAGCCCCGGAAAGCCTGTCCTTTCACTGAACTGCTGCATTTAGCATGCCTCAGGTTATGACTTGGCTGATGGGCACCCGTGTGATCAAACCGCCTTCTCCGTCCTCCCTCCCCTTCTTCTTTGATGAAGCCTAAATTGAATCATTATCATTACTGGAGCCCAAATTGAGAGGCTTAGCCCTGCCTTCCCTTTCATTTTCCAGTTATGCCTGGCGTCTTAAAACCCTCAGCAACAGCTGTGGATGATTTTTCAGCTACCAAAAAAACCCCCAGAATCTGAATAGGAAGCCAAACAAGATTCCTTCTGGATGTCCAGAAAATAGGATGAATAGGACCATGGTTTGCATTTTATGAGCATGTAAGGCTGCTCCTACACAGCAGGATGGCAGTTTCTGGGGACAAAGGAAGTGTTTTCATTGTAGTTTGATCTATTGCTGCTGGATCTCTGTCCTCCATTGGAAGGGAAAGTTATAGACAGAGCGCTTCAGTCCCGTGCACAGATTTGGTGGGAAAACCCCTTCGGTGGCATCTCCAGGGCACTTCCTGGCTCACGAAGCCAGACAGGAGCTGCTCGCTGCCCTCAGCAGCCCCAGAATCAGACCCCCCGTCCCTCTGTTCACAAAGGGAACATGTATTGTTTTAACAGGTTTACCTGCCTGGCTCAAAAGATAAGGTTTTTATGGCGAGAGAGGAAATCGCTTCATCCAGAGAATTTATTCTTTATGATCATGTTTATGTAGAAGATACCGGTCTCTGAGGTGGCAAACCCTTCGCCGACTCCCTGTCATCATACCCACGCTCACAGGCTTTGCCTTGCCAGCCGAGCCGGGGCCAAGCTTGCCTTTACATGGCTCTGTTACATGGCTCTTGGGAACAGCTGGAACCAGGACTCTCAACAGAGCACATTTGATTGGTTTCCTGTCTCGGAGCAAACACAAAATGCAACGTGTTTCCAAGAGAGTAAAAGTTCCCTGAGTGGGAAAAGCCAAAGCCAATGAAGACCTCAGAGGAGCTGAGGAGATGGCCAGGGGAGGTTCAAACAGCATGTCGGCAGGTACTGCGAGTGTTGGTGAAAACAAGAAGAGTAGGAAACCGCCTTGGTTTTTTGCCTATAGCTAGTCCCTAAAGCTTTCCAAAAAGCTTTTTTTTTCACCCTTTTCAGGGAATTCAAGCGGAAGGGGGATGTGGAAAACATAGGATCAAATGTTAAACAGGAAGGTGAAGCTACATGGAGGTTTGGAAGTGACCTGAGACTGAAGAGCCAGCCATGCAGTTTGGAGAGCCGATTTTCTGGGCGAGATTGGCTGGTGACAAGGATCTCAGGTAAAGCAAAGCATGAGCGAAACTACTCGAAACTCAATAATTAGTTACTGGGAAAGCATATTGCAGAAGCATAGGTCACTGTGATGCAGAACAGAGGTATGGGGGCCAGAATGACCAGGCACTACTCAGAGATAACACTACCTCTGGTGTCATCCCCAAGAGCTCTGTTCAAGGCTCTGCAGTTCTTATCCTTGAGTATCAAGTATCATTCACTTGTTGTCAAGTTTGATGTCAAGAAACTGTCCACTCAAGAGATTGATCTAATGAGTCAACGTCGTATCAGTCTAAAGAGACGCTACCTGCGAAACCGAAGGACAGGCCATGCCAGATGGCCTCTGGATCAGCACAAGTGCTCCTCAAAAGCAACAAGGAACATATAGGAGCGGACTGTCCAGCTTTGACAAGACGGAGGATACACAAGTTTTCCCCCGTAATAACTGCCGATGGTTTGCAGCCTGCTTCAAGAAAGCCACGCACGCCTCACAAAGGTGGAGCTCTGCCTCCTGCTAATCGAGGAATATCACTACCGCCATAAAACTGCTGCTCTGGGTATATGAAATACTGTTTGTGTCACAGAAGGTTACTAAAGTACAGTCACGGGGAGTCACACCAGAATCCCTGCCCCAAAGAGCCCATGGTCTGAAGGACAGGGTAGATCACCCAGTGGCTTCAGGGAGTCCCCATGACCACCTGGGCAGCCCTCTCTGCTATTTCCATTACAAGACCAGCTTCTCTCCACCAACTGTAAAATCTCCATGACAAACAAACACTGAGGGTCTGGTTTTCTTTTCATTTCAGTATGGACCAGGAATAACTTAAGCCAGTGCGTTTAACCAGAGTAGAGCAGCCTAGGCAGGACAAGTGCCTGGACCAAGCCCTCACTGCATCTGACGAGAGCCAGACGTAGAGTTGGAGCGTGTGGACGCTTGGGGATAGCCAAAGGCAGCTCTTCGCCAGCTCCACCACAGCCATCTTCCAAGTCTAACAAGCAACGGCCTTGTCACAAATGCACACACACAAAAAAGAGAGGGATCCATGTTATGAACAGCCTTTACCAGGTACAGAAGTCAGGTCCAGGCTGATTAGTGACCTGTACATCTCATGGCTGCAGAAGTGTTAGAATCTAGCTCATGCATTTCTCTTCCTATGCCCAGCACAGGAGGAACTGCTGCTGGTTAGACTCACTGAACGGGGAAAGGCAAAGAGAGAAAAAGTCCTCAAACCACCCTTGCGATACTACGGCTGCAAGAAGGAGATATGGAAAGGAGCCACAGGGGGCCCTTGCCTGGAACGACGCCGGTAGGAGGGCTTCATCTTTTCCCACCATCACCTTCAGGATCAAAACCTGCCCTTTACTGTTCTTGAAGGTCACCAGCGATAACACATGACCTATCAGCACCTTTAATGAAAAGCCCAGCTGCGAAAGGCTGATTTTAAGAGTACAAAGAGGTTTTAGACTTCCAATAAATAGAGAAACAGAGCTTTATTTAAAAATAAAAAAAATCAGACACCGGAGTTGACAAAAATATCCTTCACCTCATAAACAAAGGAAGCAGTTGAACTTTTACACAGGCTGGGATGAGAGTTTTTGCAATATCTAATCTAGAAGAAGGTATTTCATTTCCTCCTAATTTCAGCAGCTGCTGCAGGCACTAAAGCATTTTTCAGCAGCCAGATGAATCCAATTCAGAAATACTTTGAGCGCATGCAGTGGCGCGGCCCTTCTCCACCCCCAGAAGCAGCTGCACTGCAGGAGCTTCAGAAGCAGCACGTCCATCTTCAACGCAGAGGTTCGCTAGCTACTCCTAGCAGATTTCCTTCATGATAAACAAGGCTGGAGCATGAAGAGCTGTGGTAGCTGGCACTGCGTGTACAGTAACGGGAGCTGGACGATCGGCATCTGCACCGGGGCTGTGTACAGGACCTTCCTTTCCAGGTGATGAACTTGCAGTGTCTGCACAGCACCAAGAATGGATTTTGCAATACCTGCAAGCCAAGTTTTCATTCAGATCACAATGAATTGCTGCAGCTTATAACAGTTTTCTCCTGCTACAGAGACCAAAGATCCATTAAGACTGAGTGTGTTTCTCTGTTCTCCACCAGCTCAGGCTGGTAAGGCAGCATCTGCTGGAAGGAAGAAAAAATAATCATGCTGTGCTGCTACCTGAGGTGTCTTAGATACGGTCCCCGGCAGCATACGGCGGTGCTGGGAAAAGACAGTGCTTGTTTTTTACAAGCCCTTGATCTGCCTTTTCCACAAGGAAACCGCATGCGATCGCTGTGGCTTGAGCCAGCACATGGAGAGGGGCTGGCTTCCTCAGGCATTTTCAGTCTCCTCTCTGCTCTGCTTTCCTCTGCCTCCCTCCCATCTCAGCATGAGCCCCATTCCTTTTAATCTGCAATCTCCTGTGATGCACTCGTGCCCGGCGCATCCCTGGTTATTGCCCCTACGAAGGAGACCAGGGCTCAGGACACAGGGGTCCTGTCCCGCCCCGGATCACTGACAGCATGGCCGCAGCCAGGCGGCTGGTATAAAATCATGGCAGCACATCAAACTCCCTCAAACCTCACATCTGCTGGCTGAGAGGGGTGAAAGCAGCAGAGCAAATTTTCCTTGAAATGTCCTCGGGATCCAGCTGCCCAGCCCAGCAAAAAAGCAGCTTTTCACGGGAGGTTTGCTTGCTGCCCGGGGCACGATGGACAGGTCCCTGTTTACCAACCACTTGTTGCAATAATTTCATAGTTCCTTTGTAAAAGTGGCATGTTTTTCTAA